AGTTTTGGGACCCAAGTTGGCTTGTGCCTGCCTGGTTTGGGAAAGGGGAGTACGACTGCCTACAACTGTAGACCTGTCTAGGTGATGTAAAGCTGCACAGAAAGACTCATCAGAGCACAGCTCTGACCCCAGGTCTCCAGAGAAAACACAGTCAGTTCTCTGACCGCTAAATAATCTCTCCAGAATAACAGAAGGGAAAAAACCTGCACCACAAGGTCGGATGGAACATAGCGTCTTTAAAATTATCATTTTTTTATATATTCATCTTTTGTTCAGGAAAATCAGTAGGAGACCTGGCAAGGTCCGTGCTTGTCATATAGTCACAGCATATTGTGTCTTTTCAGTAAACCAAATGATTTTTGATACTGAAGTACAGCAGGAGAGAGCTAATAAAGGTGTGCAGTGTTAGCATTAAAACGGAGCTGTAATCTGATGAAAATTTCTGTGCTTTTCAAAAAGGAGCTCAGACTTGTGCTTGCAGAGTTTTAGTTTAGCCACTTTTCTTACCATGACTTCTGGCAGCTGATAACGCCGTATTGTTACCAAGATGGTATCTTTTGTCTCAAGCTCAGTGGTGATTGCCTTGAAAAGTATGATGTGTTTGTGCTGCCTCTCTCTTGTACCCTGCATGGACAGTGGGTGCTCTAGATCCAGGCAGGAAGATGGAGTCTTGGTGACGTCTCTCTCTCTCTCTCTCTCTCTCTCTCTCTCTCTCTCTCTATCTCTCTATCTCTCTATCTCTCTATCTCTCTCTCTATCTCCTGCACCAGAGCTGGAATTGGACAGTCTCTGGTGGCCCAGTTCAGGGAGCTAAACCCTCTTTCTGGTTTCTCTGTTGCCCATTTCTGGCTGGTTTGACTCCCTCGCTGCCTGGTTTGCTGGCACAAGCAAAGGGAGCAGGACATTTTGCTTGGGTGTAGCATGGGAGGACAGGATTCTGGCAGCCTGGCAAGGTGGTCCTAGAACTCATACATCTCAGAACTACAAAACTCATCACAAGAAGTCATTCTTTTGAAGGCAAATTACCATATATACTTTTCGTTTTAGCTGCCAGTAAGTTATGTTTTGCATAAACAAAAATTCCAAATAGTTCCGTGGGAGTTTATATCAATTTAGAGAAGTATGACTGGAAATTTTGAAGTTGTTTTTGTTCCTGTTGGATTTGAGGTCTCCCCATTGAGTGTTTCTAAATTCCGTCAATGTGTTTAATGACACCAAGGGTGTTTATTGGCATAATTCACTCTGAAATAGTTTTGCATGTGGAGTTCAAAAATTTAAAACAGAAATGTGAAGAAAGTTGACCAATGGTTCTTGTGCTACAGCTTGTTTGTCAGCCTGTTTGCTATTCATGATTTCAGTACCTGCTAAAATTACATTTCATCCTACTGCAAATATTTAACAGGATGAAGTATTTAGGGAAAGTGTAAAGTGCCTACATCCTCAGGTATATGTAATTGAGAAATGTGTTAGGAAAAATACAAAACCAATTCTCCAAAATAATAAAATCCACTGAAAGGAGGGGTGTCCTAAAGCTGCCATCACCATGGTTAAATGCTGCCATGCCTAAAAATTGTAGTAGGTCTCGTACTTTATAAA